GCTGCTTTCTCAGGCCAGAGCTGGATCAGAAGTGGAGCAGCCATGACTTGAATTGGCACCCATACAGAATGCCAGCACTGAAGGCAGAAGATTAACCTACTGTTCCACAGGGCCAGCCCCCTAGTCTTTCTCTTTTATTGGATCATCTACATAATTTTTCAGCAACTTTCACAGCTCCAGTATCATAGATTTGATCTTTCTGCTGCAAAAAGTGAAAGTTTAGCCAATTTCTCTATCTTCTTAGAATTATTATCACCAATATCTCCCTTTATCAAATGCTTTACAAGGAACCTAAACTTTATTGTGACTGCTTGTACACAGGCATGTTCAGCTTTAAAAAAAAAAAAAAAAAACAGGGCATTGTATCTTAGCATGTTAACCTGCTGCCTATGATGCCAGTATCCCATGTTGGGGCCGGATTGTGTCCCAGCTGCTCCACTTCCAATCCAGCTTCCTATTAACAGCCTGGAAAATGCAGTAGAAGATGGCCCAAATGCTTGGGTCCTTGACCCACTCATGGAAGACCTGGATGAAGTTCCTGGCTCTTGGCTTCTTCCTGACCCAGCACTGGTCATTGAGGCCATCTGGGGAGTGAACCAATAGATGGGAGATATCTTTCTCTACGCCCCCTTTCTGTAACTCTGATTTTCTAAATAAATAAATCTTTTTAAAAAATAAAAATGCTTAGTGCAAGGCCTATTATACTGTAAGCCTCTAATAAATATTAGTCTTCCAATCGTCAAATATCTTATGTAAATTATCTAATCCATTAAGAACCCTTCAGTGGAAATTTCCCAATTTCATAGATGAAATAATTGATACTCAGAGAAACAAACAGATCAAGATTACAAGTTAGCAAGAAGAGAGAGAAAGGATCCAACCTATTATCTATCTTATCCCAAAACATTCATTTGAGAGGACTTCACTATTTCTTTTTCTTTTATTTTTCTTTCTTGCTATTAAGTTTTGGCTTATTGCCCTCTGCCTTTTGGTGGGAATATCACTTCTTTATTATTATGAACATTCTGGGTAGGGTCCATTGAAGTCTCTCTGAATCCATGCCTACTTGGAGTGATATCCTTTAAAGCTAAGCAAGACTGAGCCAAACTCTCCAGGCTGCTGTTCTCTTAAAAGGATATTCTATTAGGAAGTAGTAAAACAACCTTAAAATCCAATCATCATAGGTTCAAACCCCAACTTTGCATAGACTAGTTTGTGGGATCAATATGTTATTCTACTCTACAATCATTCTGTGAAATTGGGATTTTTCTTATCCCCAATTTGTAGCTGACTAGACTGAGGCTGAGCCAGGCCCCAAAGCTCACTGCATGGCAAGCCATTTCACTGGGAGCTCTTGCCTCAAGGCAAAACCAGCCAGGTATAGTGAGGCTCCATGCTCCTTTTAGGAACTGGCAAGTGCTCACTCCTCCCGAGCTCACTGGGCCAGGGACGCCTGTGCCCCTCACACTCAAACCCTTTAGGCTGCTTGCCTTTCTCAACTTTAGCTATTGCTCTTAGTTTTCTGGTCCATAATGGATTTTGTTTTTTCTTTGGTGTGTTTTAATGTTTTTAAAAAGATTTATTTATTCGAAAGTCAGAGTTACACCAAGAGAAAAGAGGCAGAGAGAGAGAGAGAGAGGTCTTCCATCCGATGGTTCACTCCCCAATTGGCTGCAACAGCCAGTACTGCGCCGATCCGAAGCCAGGAGCTTCTTCCAGGTCTCCCACGCGGGTGTAGGGGCCCAAGGACTCGGGCCATCTTCTAATGTTTTCCCAGGCCATAGCAGAGAGCTCGATCGGAAGTGGAGCAGCCGGGTCTCAAACCAGCGTCCATATGGGATGCCAGCGCTTCAGGCCAAGGCATTAACCTGCTGAGCCACAGTACGGGTCCCTGGTGTGTTTTAATTTAAACACTGAGTTGCTGCCTTGTCAATCAGCTATGGCAATAGAATACTGATCTACAGCCTTGTTGTTATTAGGAAACCCAATGACAAACACAGCTGCAGTTGCATTCCATGTGCTTTCATTCAATATCATGAAAGCTCAAGAGAAAGCTACCTCTGTATCATCAGCATATTATTAATTTTAAAGGCAATCACAGCAAATGGTTAACATCTATGTAATCTGAATAGTAGGCACACAGGTATTATAATATTTCCCATACTGCTCTATAAATTTGAAATCTCATAAATTAAGTAAAAATAACTATAAATAGAAAATATGGTATCATCTTTTAAAAGGGAAATAAAAATAAGGTTTTTCTTGTAGAGTTGCTAATCACAGAATGAAAATATTTACTATACACTGGAAAACAAGTAAACACAGCCAAGTACTTAAATGAATACTCCATAGAAGATTAAATGTCACTGTTTTTTCTCTAAGGACTTAAATATACATACATATTTTCTTTTGATTTGAGATTTGATGTTCAAGGTTTTCAAGATCATTCTTTATAATTAGGGGACTGGATTCAAAATGGATAGGAAGGCATGGGGCCAAGTCTGGCGATGCCCAGAAGGTCTAAATGAAGATATGTCAGAGGGGCATTCACCACCTTGCGAAGTCACAAGCCCGCCCTCTCAGGCTACAAAACATGTTCATCAGCCTCCTGAGAGGTGGCCCCTATCCCAAGGCAGACTTGCTTTAACCAATTTACAAGACTGAAGAATAAAACAGAGCACCAATAAACTGTTTTACAATGAGAAATCCAGCATAGAGACAGCGTAATTACTGCCTGTAGGGAAACCTACATTGAAAATAAAATTATAATCACAAGCTTGTATGACTGGCATAGCATGAGAAAAGAGCAGTTGTTAGCCACCTCTGTTGAATAATCAGGGTACCTTGCTCAATTCACCCATCTCTATATACTCATTAATGGGAACAGATTACTAAAAAAAAAAAAATCTGCTGACCAAAACTCTTCTCTAGTCAGAACCTGAATGGATGCTGCCAGTTTTCCCCCTTAACTATCATATTTCTATGCTTCAACAGCCAAGCCCTCTGTCATCAAATGCGCTGTTGCACAGTCAGCCTTACTACAGATGTTATAGACCATATGTCACCTACAAAGCAATTCAACGAGTTCTCTCTCTAGAGCTTATAAAAGACTCTGTGTGGGGCAGGCACGATGGCATAGCAGGTAAAGCCATTGCCTGCAGTGCCGGCATCCATATGGGCACCGGTTCATGTTCCAGCTGCTCCACTTCCAATCCAGCTCTCTGCTGTGGCCTGGGAAAGCAGTAGAAATGGTCCAAGTCCTTGGGCCCTTGCACTCACACGGGAGACCCGGAAGAAGCTCCTGGCTCCGGATCAGCACAGGTCCGGCCATTGCAGCCAACTGGGGAGTGAACCAGCAGATGGAAGATCTTTCCGTCTATCTCTTCCTCTCCTTCTCTGTGTAACTCTGACTTTCAAATAAATAAATCTTAAAAAAAAAAAAAGACTGTGTGACAACTTTAGTCACAGAAAGATAAGAATTTTGTGTGGGTCCTTGATGTAATTCATGAAGCTATTCACCAATGAAGCCCAAGTTCCTATAACAGTGCCAGCTACTTAGTGGATGCTCAATGAATATTTCTTATATAAATAAAGAAAACCTTAATGTTTTAAAGTTAAGTAATTAAAATAGTAATTCAATACCAACTTAAAATTACATACTTTAATCATCCTCAACACTCCCTTTGTAAATATAATAATTCTGGACCAGAACCTGGAAATTTTCTCCCACATGTACCTTTCTACATTCTGCTCGAGTTGCTTAAAGAAAAATCCCTCCAAACTCATCCACTGCTGCACTGTCGGTGGTAATGTATATTGGCATAGCCACTGTGGAAAACAGTATGGATAGTTCTTAAAAAAATAGAAATAGTCTTGCCATATGATCCAGCAATCCCACTGCTGGGTATATATTAAAAAGACATGAACTCATTGCATCAAAGAGATACCTGCTCAACCATGTTTATAGTAGCACTGCTCATGGTAGCCAAAATATGAAATCAAACAAGGTGTCCATCATCAGATGAATGGATTAAAAATGTGATATGTAAATATACATGTGTGTGAATGTGTTAATATATATGTGAAATGTATATATATGATATGTATAAATGTGATATGTGTATATGTGTAAGTTATATATATATGTGAAATGTATATATATACACAATTTTATCATTTGCAGCAAAAGATTGGAAATGGAAGACACCATGTTGATTGAAATAAGCCAGACACAGAAAGACAAATATCACGTGTTCTCCTGTATATGTAGGAGCTAAAATTAATTTTAAAATGCCCGAGTGTATCAGTTTTGCTGCAAATACAGTTTTGTCAAACTTTGTCTTAAATTTTTGTAAAAAAAATTGATATAAATTAAGTACTACCATAGTTTCAATGATTTTGTGACTTAAAATGTACTTAATATGAATGCAGTTAAACACTTTTTCATTTGACAATTGTTTATAGCCCTTGCCTATTTTCCTGTGAGACTATGGTCTTTATATTTGGTATTTGTTGATCTCTTGATTTAGTGGTGTCAATAAACTTTTGACTACAATGTAAATTAAAAATATGTTATCACAAAAAATATTGTTGAATTAAAAAATAAAAATCCCCCAATGCTGTTTACCAACCATCAGCCACTACCAACCACCTCCACCATCAAATACTATGAAAAAGGCCAATTTTTAAAATTATTCTTATGTATGCTAATATCCAAATGGGCACCAAAATGAACTTAATTAAGCATCAATCATTGAGAAAGATTATTTTATCACCCCATGTCAAAAAACATACCAAGCACTATTAGTTGAAGAGAAAAATAAGTGTGTAATATAATTGCAAAGATCTGTATTTATAGAAAAATTGGCAGCTTGCTATTAAAATGGCCCAATAAACAAAGTTTTTAGTGATGTCACCAAGTTCTAGCAGGCAGGAATCCCACTGAAGTTCCTTAAGGTAAAATGCATCCAGCATATACACGCTGTGTGTGTGCTACTCACGGCATACTGGAACTTTTCATTATATTCACGGTCATTGGCTTTCACCACCCGTTCCACTTCTAAAGAAAAGAGATAACAGATATGAAGTCAAATTTTAGACTTATAAAAATGTAACTCATTACAGTAACATCACTCAGGTTACTTCAGTTGTTGTCAAGGTTGGAAGAATTCTTTCCTTTGAAATTTGAAGGGCATTGGCTTTTTCCAGCCTAAATGTTGGAACACATATTGGAAAGTCCCAAAATGAAAAGCTGAAATGTTTCTCGTTGTCTTACTGATACCAGTCATAAAGAGAAACATTATGTGTCTCCAATTGTTATGTCCCTTCAGCTCTGCAGAGACTTTTCACTTCAAGTAGCTCCTAAAGGACAAGATGCCACTCAAAGTCAAATGTACTCTAGGAAGGACTTATTTTGGCTACAAAGTCACAATATATAACATAGATAAATAAAACCATATAGACGTAAACAGTGAGGTCACTGAACTTATGATTATAAAGTCATGGGTGATTTTTTTTAAGATTTATTTATTTATTTGAAAGAGTTATACAGAGAGAGAGAAAGAGAGGCAGAGAGAGACAGAGAAGTCTTTCATCTGCTGGTTCACACCCCAACTGGCACAATGTCCAGAGCTGTGCCGATCCAAAGCCAGGAGCCAGAAGCTTCTTCCAGGTCTCCCACATGGGTACTTGGGCCATCTTCTACTACCTTCCCAGGCCATAGCAGAGAGCTAGATCAAAAGTGGGGCAGCAGGGACTCAAACTGGTGCCCATATGGGATGCTCACAATGCAGGCAGCAATTTACCCGCTATGCCACAGCACCCCCCCCCATACGTGAGATTTCTAAACAATCCAGGAATATCAGGAGGAACATCATCAGATCTTCCTTTAAATGGAAGTTGTCAAAGAATAAAATCTTTTTAAAACAAATTCAAATACCGGTACACCAAAAAAAAAATGGAAAACAAGATCATAACAAAGCAAAAATTAAAATTTGAAAAGCACAAGAAAAGATCAACTCCAGGTCCATCAGCTGCTTGTTTTGTAGTAATAATAGCAATTGGAGGTACTATCAAAGCCAAGCAGAGGTTTATGACAGAGTGATTTAAAAATACCAGTGAAAAGTCACAAAGCAATCAGCTGTCAAGGATGGACTGTCATGGTAAGTGACTTGACATCTCACCTGAGATTCTTCAACCTTACAGTTGTAACTGCTAGTCACAGGTGGTGAAGTGTGTAGGGATGGAGTTAAGCGTCTGAGTTTAGAGAAGGTATATACAACCACAGAGATAAAGGAGCATGGAGGGTGGAAAATAACTTGAAGGCATATGTTACAGATGAAGGAGGGAAATCCAAGAACAAAGTGAGGAGAAGGCATGATGGTCAAAGGAAAGTAAGAAAGATGAAGAAAAGAAATACATTTTAGCAGCCACCCCCCATATTCCAGAAACCATGAAACCTAGGAACTCACTAGTATTTCCCAAAAGTCCAGAAGAAATCTAAATGCCTCAGGAGGCCCTGTGGATCAACTCTCAAGTCTGCAGATCACATCTGAGGACAGCTCCTAATAAATGGCACCCTGTTTTGGCTATAGTGGATTTCCTCCACTTGTAGAGTGTTCCATCTGTTTGGTGCCTACATGCATGATTTCTTTACTGCCTGTATAATACAGCAAATTCCCTGCGATTTTTCCTGTCTTCCAATCTGACTCAATTATTAATATGAATATTGGACTGTGGGGCCAGTGCTGAGGCACTGCGGGTTAACACCCTGCCCTGAAGTGCCAGCATCCCATATTGGCACCAGTTTGAGACCTGGCTGCTCTACTTCCAATCCAACTCTGTGCTATGGCCTGGGAAAACAGTAGAAGATGGCCCAAGTCCTTGGGCCCCTGCAGCTACGTGGGAGACCCAGAGGAGCTCCTGGATTCAGATTGGCGCAGCTCTGGCCATTGCAGCCAATTGGGGAGTGAACCAGTGGATGGAAGACATCCCTTCCTCCCTCCCTCCTTCTCCCCCTACCATCTCTCTCTCCCTCCCTCTCCTCTCTCTTTGAAACACTGACTTTCAAATAAATAAATACATCTTTTAAAAAATAATTAAATAAGAATATTGGACTGTCAACAGATTACAACACCTTAGTGAGTTTGCCCTTATTATGTATAACTTTGAAATCCCAAACTCACCAGGAAGCAAGCAACCTGTCAACCAAATGCCACCTGAAAGCAATGTTAAATATCCTGGCTATAAAAGCACTATCCTTTCTTGCTTGGTGATTTGTCAACAAAGAGCAAAAATGACAAAGCCCAAAATGTTACTTTTCAGAATGAGAGTACTTAAAAGCTTAAGAGGTAGATAATTTATTTAAAATTCAATTTTTATTTTTTATTTGAGAAGTAAGAGAATAACAGATAGATACACAGAGATTTCATCCACTTGTTCACTCTCCAAATGCCTCCACTTACCATGACAGTCCCAGTGGCTGGGACTAGATCAGGCCAAAGCCAGCTAATGGGAACTCAATCCAGGTCTCCCATGTGGGCAACAGGAACCCAATCACTTGAGCTATCACTGCTGCCATCCTGGGTCTGCATTAGCAGGAAGCTGGAGTCAGGAGCTGGAGGTGGTATTGAACCCAGGCACTCTAACACGGAATGTAGCATCTTAACCAGTGTCTTAACCACTAGACCTAATAACCACCCCTAGGTAGTTTATTTATATATCTCTACAATAACCCAGGAGCAATAAAACTGCTAATAGAAAAATTATGTATAATATTGGGAGGATGGGGATAGCAGGGACCATTTCTGCATGGAAAAAGGCAGACTTGGTCCGATAGCATTTTACATGTAATTTATAGATTAATTTTAGGAATAAAAAATCAGATATACTACATAATTGGCATGTTAATTGACTTTAGCTTAGAACATATGTTCAGATGACAGTCATTTTTTAAATTTTACCCTTGTATGAAGCATATTCAAGACCAGAATTCTATCGCTCTGTGCCTAAGTTTATCCTTCCAAACACCAGAGTCTTGTTTCTATGAGCCCAGTTAGAACCGTCCTGTCCAGAGCATCCATGCAATCACATTATACAAGGATGGGGACAGTCGAGATCCTCTTTAGGGTGTCCAGACTGCTCTTGTCTCACAAGACCTCATCAAAGCCATGAAGTGCTCTTTTTGCTTTTTTTTAAAGATTTATTTTGTTTATTTGAAAGGTAAAGTTACAGAGAGAAATAGAGACAGAGAGAGGTCTTCCATCCACTGGTTCACTCCCCAGATGGCCACAGTGACCAGGACTGGAGCAGGCCAAATCCAGGAGACTCTTTCAGGTCTCCCACATGGGTGGCAGGGACCCAAGCAGTTGGGCCATTTCTGTTACTCTCCCAGGCACATTAATAGGGGGCTGGATAGGAAGTGGAGCTGCCAGGACTCAAAATGGCACCCATAGAAAGAATGCCAGCGCTACAGGCCAGGGCTTTAACCCACCAAGCCACAGCACCTGCCCCTGCTTCCTTTTTTTTTTTTTAAGATTTGTTTTATTTATTTTAAGGGTAGAGTTACAGAGAAAGAGAGACAGAGAAGGGTCTTCCATCCACTGGTTCACTCCCCAAATGGCCACAGTGACCAGGACTGGGCCAGGCCAAAGCCAGGAGCTTCTTCTGCATCTCCCACATGGGTGGCAAAACCCAAGCATTTGGGCCATCTTCCACTGCTTTGTCCAGCCCTTTAGCAGGGAGCTATATTGGAAGTGCAGCAGCTGGGACATGAATGGGCACCCACATGGGATACTGGCATTGCAAGCAGCAGATTAACCTACTAGATACAATGCTGGACTTCTTTTTTTTTTCTTAAACCGAACATGCCTGTGTGCAAGTAGTTACAATAAAGTTTAGATTCCTTGTAAAGCATTTAATAAAGGAAGATATTGGTGGTAATAATTTTAAGAAGATAGAGAAATAGGCTAAAGTTTTACTTTTTGCAGCAGAAAGAGAAAGAGCAAATCTGATACTGGCACTGTGAAAGTTGCTGAAAAAATATTTGATGACGCAATTAAAGAGAAAGACTGCACAAAAAAATGAGAGAACTAACCCATATGAGATGCTGGCACTGCAGGCTAGGGCTTTAACCAACTGCACCACAGTGCCAGCCCCTCTTTTCGCTTCTAAATCTTTATTATTAAGTCTAATCTTTGTTCCTGCACATGCAGTAATAATCATCCTCCTGAACTGACTCTTCAGAGATTAATTATGGCAGGAAATTTTGCATCCTTCTTTAACTTGTGCTAAATTCTAGCTTTGGTTCTAAATCCCTACAGTTTTCTCCTTTAACCAAAATATCCTAGGCCTGAATTATCTTTCTAAGAATCAATGTTCTTCCATATGCTAGCACAGTTTATGAGAGGCATAAACCTCTCTTGGCGACAAGTCACATCCTGCAAGAAGAGGAAGCTGAAAACAAACCCCCATAACAATGCCCACTGAGAATGGCTTGGAAGTTCCATGATTTAATGTCCAATATTTTGGATTCACCATGGGAAACTTCCAGGTGTAATTTCAATAATGAAAGGAAAGTAGACTAAAGGATTTATGACCTACCACTCCTGCACAATGATCATTGAATTTGTCTGGCTCCAAAATGAAGTAAAGTGATATACAAGGATGTTGAAAACATAGGAAGCCAGCCTTTTCTGAAGTGGAGTAAAAGAGGTCAAAGAGCCTCCAGTGTAAGATGGCAAACTGGGTATGCTTTACCTCCCTTCCTTCTCAGGCCCCATGAAAATAACAGCGAATTCTTAAAAAAAAAAAAAAAATAGAAACTTAACAGTGCTGGAAAACAAGAACAGCGGCTACTAGAGATTCATAAATTTTGAACAAAGCCTAGAAAATAAAATAGAAAGCAGATGGGCTCACTGTGACTGGGGAAGGAAGGCTAGGACCAACTCCAGCCACAGGAGCAGGAGAGTGATCTTCCTAACAGAGCCCCAGAGCGGCTCCCAACTCAGTCAGTAAGAGTGTGTTAGACAGGATGACAGCCCAGGGTGCACCTATTATACT